TCGCGCGGCGGCCTGCGCCCCACCGCCACGGCCGCCCTGGGAGCCGGCCCTGCCGCGGCCACGGCCCCCACCGCGGCCGCCTCGCTGGCTCCGGTTCAGCTTAATGATGTCGTCCAAAGACATATCCATTTTGTGAGCCATGGCGGGCGCGGAATCCATCATCATTTCTTACTGAGGCTGTGAAGCCTAGCGCGCAGGGCGGCTACGTGGCAGCCTCAGATACTTCGCTCAATTCTGTTTTGCAAAGATGAGCCTTGGAAGCTACTAATGTTGTCTGAAAACTGATAACAGATGATGGTACGGCAATGTGTGAGAGTTGCAAAGGATGAAGTTACATGGATGTCGTAAAACCTCTAGTAGGAAATGACTGATGCTTTATGCTGTTATAGGTAACACGCTTAGTAATCTCTCTATTTAATTATCCTGCATGGGGTCAGGTATGATGCTAGACCGGGACCAGCAGTCTTGGGTTCTGGCTCTGGCTCCATCTGGAACTCACTCTAGGACCTGGGCCAGGGCAGCCCGTGTCTCTGGGCCTCTACCTCTTCCTCTTTAGAAGTGGAACGTTGCCAAAAAAGACCCAGTTGGCGTTCTGTAAGTCACCAGGCATGACACCAAGCTCTTGAACACATCATCTCATTTACTCAGCAAAGATAACTGGGTGCCTTTGTCTGGCGGGGCCCAGCTTCAAGCATCAATCCATTTAAAGAGAAGAGCCTTGGACCCAGAAGGGTAATGCCTGGGTGTACAGAAGCGTGTAAGGGGATCCAGGGGCGGGCATTCCTGTGCCATAATCCTATAAGACTCTAAAGTTATTTGCCATTATACTGAGAACAGAAAGGGGAGAGCTACAGTGTGTGTGTTTTTATACACATATACAGTGGACATAGTGTCATCTGATTTCCAGTTGCTATCAGACATGAAAACAGCTACCAGAGTTGGCACTTATTGGAAAGCACCTTCTGCATGTGTGAAACTGCGGTGTAGAACTGCACTGCGATGCTGCCTGCTCGTGCCACTATTCACAAGAAAAATTACATGCATGTATTTCATTTTAGACACTAAATTTCCTACATCTTTTCCTAGATTAGTCAACTATTAAAGTATATCTATGATTTATCATTTCTTATAGGACTCTAATCATTGATTCCCACTGTTATATTAATGTAACCCTTTTTTTTTTTTTTTGTAAAAACATTATCCTTGATGGGAAATGATATATTTTTTTTAAATTTTAAAAGTTGTTCCTATAATACTGATATGCTCACAAATATTGTAGCCTTAAATAGGACTGCCTGAACGCCACCCCAGTATGTTCCAAAATGTGCTCTGTTCCCCAACGCAGGTTCCTACAGATGCACTGGTTCCCCTCAGTGGAGGTGGCCTCTACCTTCAGCTCAGGTACTGAAATATGAAAAATTTCCAGGACTCCTGAAAGTCCTTGACCATGCTGCTCAGAACACTCCAACTTTCTTCCTTTCAGAGAGCAAGTCCCGAGTTCCTCATCTTTTTTCTGTGTCTCTCTTCCCTTTGTCTATCTTAGACCCAACATGAAGACGGAAGCAACAGTGTCTCCCAAGCACTTCTGGGTGGATGTGGGGAGGAAAGGCCACCCTGTGCATCCTCCTTCTCCAGTCACTTGGATCTTACGGAAGTCCAGTGTGGCCATTCAGAGGTGAGTTCTGCACATACTCACCTTGGTGCTGCAGTCATAGAGACCCACTTGTTTTCTCTTTCACTCAGGTAGAAAATCACTCTGAATGCAATAATAACCCACCTCAATGTCAGAAGGCTTTAATCTCTAATGGGCCACAATGTGTCTTATAATCACCAGCTAACTTGGATCAATGAAAAATTTGCATCTTAACAAGGCAGACAGCTAGCCATTTTCAGTTCACACACAGAATGGAAGATTCCCCTCTGGTAGCATCGTGCCTGCTCATTTGTGCCTCTGCTTTCCTCTTTTTATGACGGTTCACTCAGGGTGTGGCGGGCAGGTTCTGTTTGCTCGCTTCTTGGGGACAGCGAGCAAGCTTTCCAGAATGACTGTCTTCAGTTGCTATGTGTACCTCTCAAAAAAAAAAAATCTTTTTAATGGAAAACTTATAGCATAGAACACTGGAAGTGCAGATTTGGGCACCAGACAGACCTAAAAAAATATAAGGAAAGGTAAAAGTAAGTACCTAAATGGTAGGCTGCAGTGTATGAGTCAATGTAAACTTAGCAGCCAGTGCACTAAGAGAAACACAGAGCCCTCATAGCTCCTTGGCCGATGCACAGCCCTCTGCTTTCCTACGAGAAACCTTCAGCCCAGGGACTGTGCCCTTGTCTGACTCCCATGAGGCCATGTGACAGTCTCTTTTGGTGCAGCTATCCTCTCTCTGCGTCCCTGTTTCTTCCCCAAAGCTAAGAAGCTCTCTTCTCTGAACAGCACTGGGAGGAAGCAGCTCTTTCGATCTTGCATAGGAGTGAGATTGTGCTGCATTTGCCTTTCCATGGTTGGCGTGCTCACTTCGCAGAACATCTCCCAGGGTCCTTCACGTTGTTTCGAATGGCAGGTCCATGTTCTTCTTTTACAGCTAAGCAGTACTCCATTGCTATAGTTTAGGCTGTGAATGTTCCCCAAGATGCGTGTGATGAAGGTTTCCACAGTGTGTGCTGTGGCACTGTCATCTATTTATTTATTTATTTGGCACAGGGTCTCACTGTGCAGCTCGGACTCGTAGCGATCCTCCTGTTTTCAGCCTCCCCAGCACTGAGATTACAGGTATGTGCCACCACGCAAGGACTCAGTGCTGGCTCAGCGTGCCCAGGGGTGGGGCCAGGGTGACACATGGTGCCAGGGATCCGACTGCAGTCCCTGCTTGCCTAAGTAGGTGCTTAGTCTGCTGAGCTATCTCACTGGCTCCTGTCGCACTGTTAGAGGTGGTAGAACCTTTAGCTTGGGAGGCCTGATGGAAGAAGCAGGTCATGCAGGTCCCCTGGAAGGAGACACCGGGACATCAGACCTTCCTCTTTCTCTCTGCTTCCTGGGTGCCATGGAGCAGGCAGCTTCCTCAGCTTCCACTCTGGCTGTGATGCGCTGCTGCTCTATAGCTCAGCCCGAATGGAAACATTTCAAAGTAACCTCTCTTTTCTTCAAACTGACTATCTCAGGCATTGCGTTACAATAGTGGGAAGCCGGCTGATAAACTCACTCTGCATTTATGCCACGTGTTCTCTACCTATGCATCCATGGATGGCCAATGGGGGCTGGTTGTTGACATTGGTGCTGGGTGTTAGTGGGGGAGGGGGACAGAGACCCATTAGTCAGAGCATGGACAGGCACAGTTAGACAGAAGGAACATATCTGAGGAGATCTAGTGCACAGCCTGGTGACTACAGTTGATGTTGCTACATTATATTCATGGAAAATGTGAGTGGATGACATGCTGTCACCATGCGAACAGTAACCATGAGGAAATGCAGTTATTAATTTGAACGATTTAACCATTCTACAATGTCTATAGGCTCTAAAACCTAATGCTGTACATGGTGAAAGCCTACAGTGCTATCTGTCCATTAAAGAGAAACAGACTGGAAGGAAATTCCGCCCTTCTCTCCCTGTTCTCCTACCCCCTTGGTGGCTTCAAAAGGGAACGGGAAGAACGGGTCTGACTGGAGTCATCAGATGTGCTGGTTCTGGTTCAGGCTCTATGCAGGGCAAGTGGTGGCCTCTGGTTGTCTGTTTGCAGGGCCCCTGTGATCTCAGGCACTTCCAGTACTAACAGTGCAGCAGGGCAGTTCTACTAGCTCAGCCTCTGTCTGGATGCAGAATGCAACTCATGGGCGATGCAGTGGAAAGCCCCTGCCCTTGGGTGCCAGGGGCAGTCTGCATGGTGTCTTACCCCCAGTGCAACTGCGATGTGAGTTTTCTGACTCCAGTGTATGTCCAGCATAGGCTAGAACTGAGTGAGACCTTCCAAGGAGAGGACACAGACGAGATCCATCAGCTGCCTCCTACTTTACTGCCTGTGTTAATAATTCTTCTGGGTTTTTGTTTCAGCCCACAGTTTAGTGCTTCATTATATCAGTGGTTCATGCTAAGGTGGATGGATGAGTGGATGGATGGAGAGATGAGCTGATAGATTATTTGATATACGCATAGGCTCACAGTGTCTTGATCACTAATTATAGCATGCATCATTTGAACGAAACCAAATAGATGATAAATGCTTCACAGGCTTAGCCCTACATTTATGTCTATTTTTTAACTACTTCCAGCATCACCTTTTCTTGTACAAAGTAGCTATTCATTAATACTTGTCTGCAGTAATGCTTACAGAGATTTATTGTTGAATAAGGGGACATACTCATATATCATTTCCATACTCACAATGACTCGGTGAGGTAGAGAAGGTCATGGGTTTTCCTACTTTCCAATAAAGGAAACAGGACAGGAGAAGCTCAGGGTCCTGCCTGAAGCCACATTCTGGTAGCAGGACAGCAGGCCTCTATTGGGCTCTGCCTACAGCCTACGTCTGGTCTGCTCATGACCTCGCTTATATGGGATGACCAGCTACAAATTGGGAGTTCTACACACTGCGAGTTAAAATAAAATTTTCCTCCTTTAGCCTGTGGGCACTCAGTATTCTGTCCTAACAATAAGAAAGTAGCTAAGACCCTTTCAGAACACTGAGCTAAATGACCCTTCATTAGAGCAACACAACACACAAATGCACATGTATTGTCTCATTCAAGCTGCATGGCAAACACTATCACTGAGTCTATACTGCAGATAAGGTACTGAGGCATGGAGAGATGGAGGACCAGTTGTACTCCATGCATGGTAGGGGAGGACTCACACCAGGCAGATGGGGACAGAGCTCAGGCAATGGCTGGCCTGTAAATTGATTGCTTGCCTGGGAAGGACTAGGTGGACAGAGCCAGGCTGTCTTCCACAGCAGGCCTGCTGTTTGTTCCTCATGAGTGGGACAGTGAGCTATTGGAAGAGAAATATCGAAGTAGAATTCTACCAATGCAGCACCCTGAA